ATTTTTGTCTCAATTTAAGTTAAAATTTTAAATTAAAAGATATCATCCCTATTGAATTTATTAATGTTTAATGGAATCCAAAGTACAAAGAAAACTTTGTAGAAACCCCCAAAAAAATAAATCAATGGGGTGTGTACTTAGAAGAACTATACCCCAGAGGTCAAAGTAGGTCCACTGTAGAAAGTAAAAACTATGAGGCCTTCAAGTTCTAAGGCAGTGGTTGGGCCTGTTGATTTTGGGCTTACCTCTGAATGTCCAGTAGTTGATGATATTAGGGCATCTCCAATCCAACGTATGTTCTAACCCAACACTAAAAACTACACTAAATTGGTGTAAGTAAATACTAATACTGTTTATCTACACTAATTTAGTGTGATACTATTTATCTATTATAAAATATATTGTATTTTCTTATTTGTATTTATGTTAATTTGATTATTATTTATATTAGTATTTATAATAATAAATTCATAATAATTATATAATTCAAAAAATGATAGAAAAATTAAAAACAAAACTTTATTCAATGCAAATATTAAACTACAATAACTTAAAATAAAAATTAGCACTAATTTAAAAACCAAATTGGTGAAATAGATTAATTTTATTAAATTAGTATAATTTTTAAAGTAATTATTATTTAATAAAAATATCATTTTTAATATTTAATTAATATATATAAAAATAATTAGTGAAATATATTAATTGTTGATTATTAATAGAAAGAAAAAGAAAGAGAATATTCTTTTTGTTGTAATATTTGATGCAATGAATTGGAGATGCAATAGTGAAATACATTAAAAATCATATCAAATTTGATGTGAAACTTGTATCAATTTGGTGTTTGGGGTAAGAGATTGTCTTATGGGGAGAAATTTGATAATTAATGTTAAATTTATTATTATAAAAATGTAGAAGAAAAACATAAATGCTTTTTATTATAGTTATAATATAAGAGGTGGATGGATCGGTGATGTAGCCATCATTATTTATTTCAAGAGTAAACAACATATTCCCACCCAAGGTTTGGCAAATCTATTCCCACCCCTGGTTTCATAAATTGTAATTCTCACCCTTAAATTAACATAGTTACTTTTCTCTTAAAATAACCTTTATATCTCAAATTTATCTCAAATAACCCACAGAGGATCATAGCCAATCCAAGAATTTGGCCTGATTCTGGTACCATTGGACCTTCCCGACACCATCATCAGCATCCCCTCATCCTCCTCACCAAAACCCCTAACTTTTTCACTTGATTGCACATCGGCGAGGTGCCAGAATTTGGCTAAAAATGTGCAACAAAACATAAAAACCTAAGGGAGAGGCAACAACGATCGACGGGCAATTGCGGTTGACAATGTTAGGGGTTTTGATGGGGGGAAGCTGATGGTGTTGGGGGTGGTTTCCAATGCTGGGACATACTGAAATTTGGATGAAACATTGATTGAAACTAAGAGCAGCAGCTGACGATTGAGGGGTTCAATCAAGCAGGGAGGTTAGGAGTTTTGATGTGGTGGTTGAGGGGATTGTAATGGTGGTGTCAGGAGAGGTCGAATACGTAGGGAATAGGCCAGAGTGGCCTAAAATCGCCGATATGGTAAATTTGAGAAGTCAAAGGTTATTTTGAAATGTTCCAGTGGAGTGAATTTGAAAAGTGAAGGATTATTTTAAAATTTTTATTTTTGAAATAACTATTTTACTTTTTTAACTGTTAGATTAAATAGTTATTTGTTAATTTAAGGGTGGGAATCTGTAATTTATGAAACAAAGGGTGGAAATGTGTCGATTCGCCAAACCTTGGGGTGGGAAAATGTCGTTTACTCTTTATTTCAAATACGCTAACACGTGATATTCAGAGTCAATTAAATTTGTAGGGTAGGGTGTTCTGTTTCTTCTGCTCAGTGGGGACCATCACCATGGCCATTGACTAATCACATTTTCACACCTACTCCTCAAGGGCATGTGCATCAAATTTAAGGTACCCCTTTACCCCTTCCCTTCCCTAACAATACCTCCATTATTGCACTTTCAATTTTTTTTCCGTAAAAATAAAAAAAAATATATAGATTAAAAAATAACTAAATTAATTTGATTTAAATAAAATGAAATTCAGGTTGCAAAATAGAAATACTAATATGTAGGCGTAGTTTCATGATTTTTATTACCACAAAATTATTTCCAAGATATTTTATCCTATCATTTCTTTTACTTTATATTTCAAATTTTTACAAAAACAAATATGTTTTGAAAATAATTTTAAAAATATAAAGAGAATAAATTCTTTCAATTAGTGTAAATTATATTAAAAAAATCAAGAGTAAAGCTTCAATCCAGAATAGTGAAATAGGTTGTACAAGTAATAATAACAAAGTTGAAGTATAAAGTTATTTAGATGTAGAAAACGTATTTAGAGGGGTTTATAACATTTTCCTCCTTTAATTTGAGGAAGGGAATACGCACCCAACTTGGTTCTCCAAAGTCACAAACACACCCAAAGGTTAACACAATTTCAAACTTTGTTTTCAGAAGATTTTAATTTCCTTTGTCTTTTATAATTCTCTCTCTTATTTTATTTTATTCGATTTTAATTTATTTTTTATATAATAAAGCCTGAATCTCATATCCAAGAGTCTTCTCCTTCCTCAACTCCCATGAAATGGTTTGATGGAGAAATTGTGTGATGATGATTGGTTTTCAACTGTGTGGATTGTACAAGGTCACGAATAGCTGCATTGAACCTAAATGAAAGTTTTATTTTAATTTTAGTTTATTATATAAAAATTAAAAAAAATTAAATATTTTAATTTTAATTTTAATTATAACTTATTATATAAAAATCTTTTAATAATATTACTACTTATATAGTTAAAATAAAAATTAAGAATATTATAATTAGAAATAATAAAGGAATGAATTTCACTTACTTCTAATGATGGACAAATACAATGCGGTTCGATTTTTAGCAGAATCAATCCATACCGCACCAAAAAAATTTGTACAAAAAACCATCCTATAACCTATTGTGTAAGTTTAATAATTGAACTATATTGAATTGAAAAAATTGGCATGGTATGGTTCAGTTTATTGGTTTTTTTATTAGGGTTTTTGCATATTTTCATATGATTTTTATGATATTTTATAAGGGGTTTACTAACATTCTCTGGGTTTTTTTAACTTTACTGGATATATTTAAAAAATAAAAAATAAAAAGATAAACGGCTTGGTACGAACACGATATCCAAGTATTCGAGAATCACACTGTATTGTATGGTTTCGTGGTTTTTTTTGTCAACCCTTACTTACTTCTAGTAATATTTTTGGGTGTATACGGAGTTATTCAAAATCTTGAGGAGGAAATTGAGAGAGGTAGGGTGTAATGTGTGCATTAATTGGTCAACGTAAAATCAGTAGCCTGTAAATACCCCTTTGTCCATTGCGCATGCTTCATCTTTTCTTTTGATGAATGATGATTGTCAGAACTTCGTTTTCTGTGGCTTTAACCATCCATCTCCATGTCTTCCCCTGAGCAACGTCTCTCTATTGTCTCATCAAATTTGAGAAGAATATAATTTAACCCATTTAATTGAATTAATGAATAAATATTTACTTTTTAGGTATTGGATTCTATTATAACATGATGGATGAAAATGAAATGCCGCAATCAAAAACATAAAACACGACAAAATATCACATCTCCAACTTTCTTAATGGTTAGAGAATAGTCCATGTCCCCATTATGAATTGCTTCATATTTTCTTGTATAAGTTCAAGTGTTTGGCCACCAATTATCGATCCTCTCACTATAATTGGAAAAGGGTTTTTAAGATTTCATCTATTCTATTCACCTTACCCAACTTTGTTGTATATATCCTCACCACGTTTTCATGGCTTTACCTTTTATTTAGTAAAATCAAATTCTTTGCTTTATAAACAATTCAATTGGGTTTTTGTATTACATATGGGAAGATTTTATTATGATTAGTGATAAAAATTTCCAAATGAAATAATATTGTTTTAGATTTCCATGGGTGAGCAAAGATATCACGAGTTTAGTATTGGGACTGGAGATATCTTAAAGAAACAGAATGAAAAGGTTGCATAGTAAGACTACTTTTATCCTTTTGACATCTTTCTTTCAATCTACTCATTCACTTTTGCCATTTAATTAACATAAACTTGGTAATTAACATTTAATTGGATTATTTAAATAGGAGAAAAAACATGGCGTGTCGCCGCAATAGTTTTAGACCACGACCACGTGGAAACTGAGAGAAAGCATGATTAAAATTTTATTGAATAAGAATTATTAGTTCCTGCAAAATTAAGTTAAGTTTAATTGTCAATTTTTAATATTCTTAATTGGTGCTAAAAACATGTTTATCTCACAGAAATTAAAGCTTAGCTTAGCTGTCTTAATTGATATCTCCAAGACTTTCTAATCTATTTCTTCTTTTGAATCTTTATTATATATAATTTAAATATTATCATCTCCTTTCTATTTTATCTTTTATTATGAAAATAATTGTTAACATGTCCGTTAACTAACGCAACACTTATTCTCATTAACATAAAACTTTTTTTATTATTAAAAATTAAGTTAAAAGCATTGACCCTCTCAATATAATAGAATGACAAAATTCCTCCTATAATTTTCAAAATCGAGAGAAAATACCAAATTACTCTCTTCCATTTATCTTAACACCTGGAAATTTATGTATCTCCAAAAACTGAAGGCTAGTTTTATTATTTATCAAATCTCAGTATTTGAATGGATTATGTAGACAAGAAAGATACTGGAAAATTTGATTGCAGACGATGAGATGAGGTGTCCTTTGTTTTCCAGGTTAGTGAGGGAAGCAAAGTCAGTGATTTCAATGGGGGAATATATTCTTTGATCATTTTTTTTTTTTTTTTTTACTGCTAATAAATTACACACTCAACCTAACCCCAGATTAAACAAACACTTTGAGGTGGCATTCTTTTGGCTCACTATTTTTCTCCCATTAGAAGATAAATACAGTTAAAACTCTCCACTTAAATAAACCCTACTCTCTCCAAATCCTTTTCTATGTTTTTATATATAAGCCCATGGACTTAACTGATAACATCAACACCACCAACACCATCACAAACCCACATACAGAAACTCAGTCCCCACCATCCAAGTCTTTGTCTTTCACCAACGCCTCATTTCTTCAACCTCAAATGGTGGTTTCCTACAAAGAATGTCTCAAAAAACATGCTGCAAGTCTAGGGGGTCATGCTCTTGATGGCTGTGGAGAGTTCATGCCATCTCCCACAGCCAACTCCACCGATCCCTCCTCCCTCAAATGCGCTGCCTGCGGCTGCCATCGGAACTTCCACCGCCGTGACCCGTATGATCCCACCTTCCCCCACTCGTTGCTTCCACCACCGCTGCCTCCAGCATCAGGCGTTGCGCTCCCGAGGAGCTTAAGTCCGAGCACAGACCCGAGCACGGCGCCGAGTCCGGACACAAACTCACCTCAACAACAGGTGACATCACCGGCTCCGTGTTCTTACTACTCATCAGCACCTCACATGCTGTTGGCTCTGAGCACGGCGTATTCTGGGCCGTCCGATGATCACTACCCTCACCACCAGGGGTTCAATCTAAAGATGGAGAACGTTAACCCAAGTGGAAGAAAGAGATCAAGAACCAAGTTTTCTAAAGAGCAGAAGGAAAAGATGTTTGCTTTTGCAGAGAAACTGGGGTGGAGGATGAACAGAGGCGAAGAAAGATTAACGCAGGAGTTTTGCAGTGAAGTTGGTGTGAGTAGACGTGTGTTCAAGGTTTGGATGCACAACAACAAGCAGGCTTTTGGGAAGAAAGGATTGGATTTGAGTACTGAAATTAACAAGAAGAATGAGATTTGCGTCAATGGTTATGCAGAAAACGGCAACAATCAGCGTGAAGAAAATGCTTCTCCTCCGAAATCGGAAGAATGAAGATAGCAATTAAAGAAATTAATTTTACAACTGTTATTTGTTTAAGTAGGGCTAAGTAATTAATTAATGAGATAATTAACTTATTATATCTTGTATTTGTGTATAAATTTGACTGGTTTGCGTTTTGGTTAATAAAAATATTATCCAAATATCTAAAGAAAGATTCTTCAATCCCCATACTTGTTTGTCTAAGGGGTTATCAAAAATTGAGGGGGGTGTAAGATATGTCATGTGCAATTCTGACTCCATTCATTAATAAAGAAGCAATACTAGTTCAACTTTTGCAGATATGTGCACCCTTGTCTCTTCTTGGGACCATGCCTCTGATACGGTCTATTGGATTTGGATTAAGCTTTAGAATTAGATTGGTTTGACAAATAATGAAGCTGTGAAGGGGTTTCTAATTGAGTATGTTATCTGAGTCTGAGCTTTAATGGCAAGAAATGAGTTTTGGGTAATCGAGGTTAGGTGACATAAGCAATGTGCAACCTTTCCCTATTTGGTCGGTAGATTAAAGCGGCAAGTTTTGTTTTTCTTATGCTTCTAATAATTTATTAGAAGTTTTTTGGCTTACTAATTCGCCACATGTCACTTCCATTTGCACTGTTATCTCTTTCTCTTAATAAATACCCATTTGAGCCCAAGTGAAGTCCAACATGGATTGGCCCAGTTTCTTGAATCAACATTCATTCACTATTAATTTAGTAAGAAGATTCGTATTACGTGAGGATCACTGAAAGAGAAAGCCAAATTACCAAATGATTTGTTAGATAGACTGGGGTGTTCTTGTTAGGCTTAGAAGAGTGATGGTGGGGGCAGAATAGATTTAAAATCTACCCACTCCATTCCTATAATGACTTGTCTTCTTTAATATAATAATAACATTGCATGGCCTATTTGGACTAGGAAACTTACCATCTATGGTTATTATTTTATTAATTTAGCGACTCTGGAAACCTTTCTGCTTTCCTTGAAATAAAAAATCAAAAGCTTCCATATCTAACAATTCAACAACGCAAAAATATAGCATTCCTTTGTGCAGTATGAAGCTTCAATTAAATGTTTATATTTATGATACAATTTCTGTACTAGATTATTAATTAAAGAAGATAATATATTGTAAGTGGTATATATAAAATTGAAAAGACTAAAAACTAATCTCATCCGTTTAGAAAATAGTCCAACAAAAGCAGAAGGGACAAGGCCATTAATAATGGAGGAGGAATAGATTACATTATCATACCTTTTGCCAACACGTTCAATGGATAAAGACATCCTAATTAAGAACCCAGAACCTAAAATCAGAAAACTTGCATTACCCCCCACTTGTGTTTGAATTGCAAATATTCGGGTGGGCAATTTCATTTTCTTATCAAATTCTTACGCAATAGGAGAAACAATGATAATTATGATACTCAGGATTAATCCTGCAAGTAACCCTTGCCATGCAATTTCTGAAAGTATAAATGGATAACGTTTATCTTATCAAAGTCAGAGGTGAAAAGATGGTAGAAGCAATTTGTGTTGCTCTAATATATTACCAATAATACTATACTTACACCACTCCCTTACATTAATCCCTTACATCATGATGTGGCAGATGAAACCTAATCGTCACATCATTTTACACAAAAATAAAAAAATTACAAACCCTAAATTTCAAATTTCACTCAACCCTAACTCAAACCCTAATCTCCAAATTAATTTTCAAAAAATTTGAAAATCCTAAAGTTCAAATCTCCTTTTCTATCTCTCTCAGCCTCTCTTGCCACCACTTGACTGCTCTTCACCGTTCAGCTCGTCCTCTCCCCCTTATCTTCATGGACTCTTGATTTATGCCGCCGCACTCAAGTTGCACATGCTTGATTGTCTGCATTTGGGATTTATAGGGTTTTCTTTATCCGCTAAGCAATGTTTTAAAACCCAGCCTAGACCGGCTGGTCAAATCGGTTCGACTAGGACCCGACCGGTAAGCCAAGTTGGTTGGTGCGAAAAATCGGCACCTTCCATCTACCCAATTACACCAATGATTGGACTGGCGCATTGTAGCAAATCACCGGTCCAATCGTTTGTTTTCTTCAAAAAACTAGGTCTAATACAAATAAACCCTTTCATCCCCTAAACCCAAATTCTAGCAATTTCCCCCAATTTTTATGCCATTTCCCTTCACATTTGCTATGAAATCTTCCACCGTGACTTCCCTTCACCATCGATTTCCTCTCTTCACCGTGGACTTCCTCCTCTTCACCGTCAGCTAGTATCGAGACCCTCTTCCTCCCATTTGTGCAATCTTCTCTCTTCAGTCTTCACCATCGATCTTGTTTGTTCACCGACAATCTCCTCTACTTCGTCTTCAACTGCAACTCATCTTCCCTAGGTATCGTCGTCTCTTCCTCCCATTTGCGCGATCTCCTCTTTTCATCGTCGAGCTCCACCTTTTTGATGTTAGCTACAGCTCATTTTCGCCAGGTAGCATCGTCGGTGCTTCCTTTGTTCTCCACTCCCTGTTTACTTTCATTCACTATTGGTATGCATCTTCTTTTGTCAATCCATCATTTTGCGATTTTCTTTAGACAGTTTGACTTTGCCATTTCTTATGTTTACATAGTACACACACATGGCATGCAAGAATTAATCAAACATATTGAATCTCCTAATTGACTTAATTTAAAATCTTCATTGAATAAGCATCTATTCAAATCTCCTATTTCAATGTTATAGGCAACAACAAAATCGATCAGCACGGTTCTGGCTATATATGGTCAAATGTTGTTAGAAACTTTATAGTTATCTCTTCTGACATTATAAAACCTTTAATTTAATTTCAAAAGATATTTTCTTCTTTTATGCACATCATTTCTATAAATTCAGTAATAGAATATGGAAATTTTTGGTTTGTTATGTTGTTTGATTATTATCGATACTAACTTATTTGTGTAGCCAGGGTAGAGATCAAGATTATTAAAGACAAAAAATGTCATCATCTGGGTTGTGTCAACAATCTTCTTCCATGGATGTTTCATAATCTTTTCGAGGAAGGAATGATATAGCATAGGGACATGTTAATGAGGGCGTGGATGAAAATGGGAAGAAGATATTAACATGTCTTTATTGTGGCAAGATAATCAGTGGTGGATGTATTTATTGAGTGAAACTTCATCTAGTGAGTATAAAGGGGGAAGTTGGAAAGTACTCTAAAGTTCATTTTGATGTTAAATTCAAGTTTTAAGAAGTAATAAATGAAATTAGGGCAAAGAATAAACAAAAATTTGAACTTCGTAAGAATGTCAATCCTTATGGAGCTAGTGTACAACAATTTGACGGTGATATGTTAGACGAAGATCAAGATTATGAAGAGTTTCCTCCATTTCCAGCTCCAACTACAACCTCAAGCACTAAGAGAAAAAAACCTTTTAGGATTGGTGACTATTTTGCTCCAAGGACTAAGCCTGAGTCTTAACCCTCAATTGCGAGTGTTTTAGTCGGAAAAGAAACTAAGTGGAGAGTAGACATGCCTGTTGCAAGGTTATTTTATGATTCTTGCATCCCAATCAATGTTATTAATTCAATTTATTTTTAGCCTGTGATGGATGCTATAACTGCAATTGGTCCTAGGTATAAACTCCCAACTTATCATAGTTTGCGTGTAAATTTATTGAGAGATGCTAAGAAAGAAGTGCAATTACTTGTTGATGGTTACAAGAAAACTTGGGAGGATGTTGGATGTAATTTAATGGCTGATGGTTAGACATATAATTCACATAGGTCACTGATTAATTTTCTAGTGCACTGTCCTAAAGGAATGTGTTTTGTGAAATCAGTAGATGCTTCAGATGTTGTAAAGGATGCTGGATATTTGTTCAACTTGTTTGAGGAAATAACTTTATGGGTTGGACCAAACAATATTGTTCATTTTGTCACTAACAATGGAGAAAATTATAAAGATGTTGTAAAAATGTTGTGTGCAAAATATAACAATATTACTTGGTCTCCCTATGCAACACATTGCATTAATTTGATGTTAAAAGACATAGCTGAGATGAATAGCATAGTTAACCTTTCGAGATGTGCATCTGAGGTTACAAAGTTTGTGTATAATCATTTGTTTGTGCTAGCTTTGCTGAGGAAAAACCAGGTTATATACATTTACCTTATATGTTTATAATTTACATTGTCAAGTCATATTATATATATACATTTTTTTTTTTTATAATTTACTAAGTACTAACATCTACTATCTATCACTTGAATAGGGTTGGACAAAAATTGTACGCACAGGCACAACTCGTTTTGCCACAACTTTCATTGCATTGAGCAGTCTACGTCAGCACAAACATGACTTGCAATCTACGGTGACAAATAGAGCTTTTGTGGAGTCTCAATATGCAAAAACTAATAAAGACAAAACATTTATTTCCATAGTTCTAGATAACCGATTCTGGGATGACATTGGTATAATTTCCAAAGTTGTGAGTCCATTGATGTGTATGCTTTGGATTGTAGACTCAGATAAAAGGCCTTCAATAGGATATGTGTATGATGACATGTACAAAACGAGGATGTAGATCAAGAAGTTGTTTAAGAATAAAAAATTTGTGTACAAGCCTTATACAACAATTATTAAGATACACTGGGACAAGATGTTGCACCATGGTATTCATGCAACAACATATTATTTGAATCTTGTTTTTAAATATGACGAAGATACTTTTTTCCAAAAACCCAGAGGTCATGTATGATTTCATTGACACTATTGAGAGTAAAGCAAGTACGTTCAAAATGAATAAGACAATGTTACTAGAGGAGAGTAGATTGTATCGAGACCGTTTAGAAAGCTTTTCTTGTGCGCTTGCTCTTCAAACTTGCAAAACTACACGTCTTGGTATGTAATAGTTATTAACCTTTCAAGTCTAATTTTTCAGTTATGAAATTATGTTTATTTCTTATGTTTTATACTTTTATTCTCAATTAGATGAATGGTGGAGGACATTTGGGTTTAGTGCTCCAAATTTGCAAAAGTTTGCAATCAAAATTCTAAGTCAAACTTCAGCCTCTTTAGGATGTGAGCATAATTGGAGTGTTTTTGAGCGCATACATACTAAAAAGAGGAACAAAATGGAGTATCAACGGTTGAAAGATCTGATTTTCACTCATTAATTATAACTTGTGTTTGCAAAATAGGTATAAAACCTTCATCATTTTTCTTATTAATTATTATCTCTTATTTTATTTTCATTGATGTTTTTATTGGTTATGATTTTAACATTTAATTCTGGCCTTTCAGGAGTTGTTACAAATATGATCCTATTGATTTTGAAAGTATTGATAAAACTGAATGTTGGATAGTTGATAAGGAAGAGGAGGTTGGTGAACTTAATTAAGATGAACTCGAACAATCATTATATGGAGAATGATCTGTTCCTGTAGATGGTGGTCATCACTCTTCTTATTATGACTCAACAGATGCTTCAGAAGGTTGTTTCCAATTTTTTAAGCAATTTGAATTTGGTAGTAGCTAGTTTAAATGGGAATATTTAACTTATAGTTTTCCTTTTTTGTTGGAACTTTTTGTAGATGATGTTGCCGATGTTAATAATGATGATAATCATCTGTTAGATAGTGTGTGAATTGTGAAGTTCAATTGAGGATGGAATGATGGATTGAAGACCATTGGATGAAGATCTTTTTTGGCTAGAATGTTGATCAATTATTATGTGATTTCTTCCTTAATTTTGTAATTTTGATTTGTAATTAGTTGTAATAGAGATTTTATTGATGTAATGGTGTTTGATGATGCCTTGTTAAGGACATTTTATTCAGGAATTTTTTATTTGGATCTTGATTTATGGAATTTTGGACTCTGTGAATAGTAGTTTTGCTGACGTCAGCATGATGGCATCACCGATTGAACTAGTCAACCTGGGACCCGACCAATTTGCCGAGTTTTGCCTCGTGTTGGTTTTTAAAACATTGCCACTAAGGTTGAGGTAATGACTCTTTTTATTCTATCATCATCATGATACACTCCGTTTTTTATTACCTAGCACTATCAAGAAAATACAGCAAAGAAAAAAGAAGTCATAGATAATTAGTGTCTTTGTAGATATTATGCATTGTTTTGTCTTTTGAAACTACAAAAATAATACCTTGATTCACGCTATTTATTTTATTATTGTGAATGATATTGAGTTTATGAATTTATATTTCCTCCTTGTTTTCAAAAACCACAAAAGTATAAGGTTATATATTTGGTTACATTATTAGTTAGTTTTACTGAAGTATAATTTTTTTTATTATTATTTTTTTTATTGGGGATGGAGGCTTCTGTTTTTAGTTACCTAGGTTTACATTGACTGAAGGAGGATTTTTGGTTAAGATTTTACCTAAGAAAATTATTTATGGGGTATCATGAAGGTTGAGACTAGGAGTGATCCTAGTGGGAAAGTCAATAGGAAAGAGCATGTTTTCAGTTATGATCTGAGGTTGGCAAGGTGATGGAAGAGAAGGCGAATTGCCTCTAAAAATTTTAGGCGTAGCCTTAAGGCTTCAAAACAAATTGTTAACAATGATATAAAAAACAACATGAATAAAGGGTCTGTTGCAGAAGGATACTAGTTGATCCAAATTATGAGGTGTTTCTAAATGATATGGTAATGTATATAATGATGTTGGGTGTGCAAATAATGTTAATGATGCTGATAAGGCTTGCCTGGCTCGACCGGTTGAATCGATTCGATCGTGAACCAGCCTCTGAGTTGGGCCACGATGGGCGGGAGAGTGGGGGTGTGATTTCACCCAAAATAGCTCGCAATTGGACTGAGGGCTCTGTAGCAACCCGCTAGTCCAACTAGTTTTTAGGAAAAACCGGGTCAACCATTACCCCCCCTCTTTTATATACTAAAACCCGAGTTTTTCACCAATTTTCCCCAAAGTCTTCATACTGTCGAATCCTAACCCATTTTTTCACTCTCCTATTTTCAATTTCTTCATTTCACCGTCAATCTCTTCATTTCATCTCTCTTAACTTTTTCATTTTCCAATTTTCCACTTCAGCAACAGCCAACATCCCTGTTTTATCTTCATCAGTTTGCTTTCATCTTCGGCAACAACTCTAATCACATCAGGTATTAATCAATTTTTCATCTTTTTTCGATTGCTTTCATCTTCATGTCATGTCTCTGAACTTTTTCATTTCATATCTTCATTTGTGTATCGAGTACCACTTCATTGCATATTGTCACCTCTAGTCAATATCAGGTACACTTTTTTAGCTCTCTCTTTTGCATATGGTGGATGCTATAACTGCAATTGGTCCTGGGTATAAACTCCCAACTTATCATAGTTTGCGTGTAAATTTATTGAGAGATGCTAAGAAAGAAGTGCAATTACTTGTTGATGGTTACAAGAAAACTTGGGAGGATGTTGGATGTAATTTAATGGTTGATGGTTAGACAGATAATTCACATAGGTCGCAGATTAATTTTCTAGTGTACTTTCCTAAAGGAACGTGTTTTGTGAAATTAGTGGATGCTTCAGATGTTGTAAAGGATGTTGGAACATTGTTCAACTTGTTTGAGGAAATAACTTTATGGGTTGGACCAAACAATATTGTCCATTTTGTCACTAACAATGGAGAAAATTATAAAGTTACTGAAAGAATGTTGTGTGAAAAATATAACAGTATTACTTGGTCTCCCTATGCAACACATTGCATTAATTTGATGTTAAAAGATATAGCTAAGATGAATCACATAGTTAACCTTTCGAGATGTGCATCTGAGGTTACGAAGTTTGTGTATAATCATACATTTTTTTATAACTTTGCTGAGGAAAGGACAAGTTATATACCTTTACCTCATATGTTTTTAATTTACGTTGTCAAGTCATAATATAATATACATTTTTTTTTTTTTATAATTTACTAATATCTACTATCTATCACTTGAATATGGTTGGATAGAAATTGTACGCCCAAACGCAACCCGTTTTGCTACAACTTTCATTGCATTGAGCAGCCTACATAAGCACAAACATGACTTGCAAGCTATCATGACAGATAGAGTTTTTGTGAAGTCTTGACATGCAAAAACTAATAAAAACAAAACATTTATTTCCATAATTCTAGATAACCAATTCTAGGATGATATGGGTACAATTTCAAAAGTTGTTAGTCCATTGATGTGTATGCTTCGGATTGTAAATTCAAATGAGAGACCTTCAATAGGATATATGTATGATGGCATGCACAGAACAAAGATGGGGATCAAGAAGCTGTTAAAGAATAAAAAAAGTTTGTACAAACCTTATACAAGAATTATTAAGATATGTTGGGATAAGATGTTACGCCGTGATACTCATGTAGTAGCGTATTATTTGAATTATGCTTTTAAATATGACGAAACAACTTTTTCCTTCAAACCAGAGGTCATGTGTTGTTTCCTTGACACTATTGAGAGTAAAGCAAGTGCGTTCAAATTGAACAAGACAATTTTACTGGAAGATAGTAGATTATATCGAGACCGTCAAGGAAGTTTTTCTCATGAGCTTGTCCTTCAAACTTGCAAAACTACATGTGCTGGTATGTAGTAGTTATTAAATTTTTAAGTTTGATTTTTGAGTGATGAAATTGTGTTTATTTCTTATGTTCTATTCTCAATTAGATGAATGGTGGAGGACATTTGGGTTTAGTGCTCCAAATTTGCAAAAGTTTGCAATCAAAATTCTAAGTCAAACTTCAACCTTTTCGAGATGTAAGCGAAATTAAAGTGTTTTTTAATGCATACATACTAAAAAGAGGAACATATTGGAGCATCAACGGTTGAATGATCTTGTTTTCGTTCATTATAACTTGCGTTTGCAAAATATGTATAAAAGCCTTCATCATTTTTCTTATTAATTATTATCTCTTATTTTATTTTCCTTGATGTCTGTATTGGTCATGATTTTAATATTTAATTATGGTCTTTCATAAATTGTTACAAGAAAATTACTTTTGATCCCGTTGATTATGAAAGTATCGATAAAACTGAATCTTGGATAGTTGACGAAGAAGATGAGATTGGTTAACTTAATTATGATGAATTGGAACAATCATTATATGGAGAATGATATATCAAATGGTATGTGAAGTTCAATCGAGGACGGATTGAAGATCATTTTTTTGCTAAAATGTTTATTAATTATTATGTGTTTTCTTCATGAATTTTGTCATTTTGATTTGTAATAAGTTATAACACGGATTGTATTGAGGTTTGATGATGCTTTTTTTAGGAATTTGTAATTTGGAATTATGGATCTTAGAATTTTTTTGCTTATGTCATCAACATGATAACATCACCGGTTGAACTAGCTCAACGGGTCAACTTGAAACCTGATCAGTTTGACAGGTTCTAAAACCCGATCAGTTTGCCAAGTTTCAACTCAAGTTAGTTATTAAAACATTGCTCAAAATGTTTTTTTTCTTTTGCCCTTTTTATTGACGATTTGATATCTTTATAAAGAGTTTTGAGCAAGCGAACCACGGGATTCGAAGAATTGCTGGCCCAGAAAGATTAAGAGAAAAGAA